TTGAAAGACAAAAGCCTTCCAAAGACATTGCAATAGATGGTTAAATAACCTACTGAGTGATAATTCAAATAAAAATTAATGTTTTCATCAGTAGTTGACGCAGTGTTGGAACATTTCTTAAACCTGAAATGATTTTTGTAAATCCAGTGGCCAAAGGCCTGACTAATAACTGGTCTTTGTGGTGATTTCAAATATCAACATTGGCTACCAGAAATCGCTTACCCCACCTTTAATGTTCCGCAATTATTACAGAATTATTATTTCTGGGAGAACTATCCCTTTAAATGTGTAAATACTATTATAACACTCCACCATAATCTTTATACTTAACAAAAATGGGCAAATGTATATTATATATAAAGGCACATTTTTTACGTGGTCATCGATTTTAAAACAATCTGTCTCCTAAAAGCAGGCTTTTATAATCGCTCGAAGACGTCATTTCTCGAGCAAGAGAATCATCCAATCAGAACACAGATGCAGCACGTCCAGCTGGAGCCTGGCTCATAAAGGGCCCTTGTGTGGCATCAAAAGAGCTGCGAGCAGTGGCAGGCAATCCAATGAGGCTGAACTAATCGCTCTCAGAGGTGAGAAGCGTTACTCACACCACACACAAACACAAGTGACAACTGTTCCTCTCACATAAAGATGCGCTGTGCGATACGTTTGTGCAGGAAACATGAACTAACAAAAATGGCCTAAAAGCAAAAAATATTAATAATACTCATCATAGAGCACCCATGACGGCTTTTCCTTCCATAACTCAGATTGCAGCAAGCGAGCAATGTGGCCTAGCAGAGAACGTGCATAATAATAAACACTCCATAACCAAATAATAAACAAACGGCTAGCTTAACTCCTATTGCAGATCATCCCGATCATGTGCAGCCTCAAACTGTTATTGATGCACATTAAATCAAACTGGATGTGATTTGTTGGTAACGTTCACCAGAACAGGACAACAACAATGGTCGTAACACAAAGATACGTTTCACTCGGAATTATTTCAATTATGAACACAGAATGAGGTAAGGGCATAATAAACCACTTCATGCGGCCCAGTATGTGTTATATTATATATATATATATATATATATATATATATATATTATAACATAACACAACATATTATATAACAAAAGAGATATTAAAAAAAATAGTTATTTATAGATTTCATACTAGAAAATTTTATATCTCTTTTGGGCACAAAAATCCCAGAAATGCAAAAAAAAATGTTATCATTGTACAACCATTTATAATTGTTTGTATATTTTTCTTATTTAAATAAATAAATAATCGGAACCTTTGGAATGCGAAAGCCGGGAAGAATTTGAGGTAACACACCCTCTTCCGGCCAACTCATCTGAACTCTGCTGTCAGTTCAAATGTGTCACTTTCTGCCATTCAGTCAAACAATCGATCGCTTCACTTTAAAACAGACCGAAGTTGAAGAGCAAAGACAACAGGCGAAATGGTGCTGCTGACGATGATTGTTCGTGTCGCCGACAGTCTGCCGCTCGCTGCATCAATGCAAGAGGACGAGCAGGTAAGAACGAGCAATCTATATCTATATAATGATAATAATATCTCTATCATAGATCAGTGGTATGAACCCACGTCAACGCAACAAACTACAACATTTGTACAAAGTATACATGATGTAAATGAGAGAGTTCATTCAGAAGTTTCAGTGACTTAAAGAGTCTGTTATTGCTCTTCTGTTTTGCTATTTTGATTGTATAGTACTTTTACATAATACATTACCGTAATGATCTTTACAGTCAGGGCGAGACTTACAGAGATACCAGAGTCAAGCCAAGCAGCTTTGCCGAAAACTGAACGAGCAGAGTCCTGCGCGCTGTACTTTAGAGGCGGGAGCCATGTCCTTTCAGTAAGTACTGACACTGACACTGAGCTGACAGTGCCTGCTAACAGACAGGGTATAGAGTTATAATTCTAATTTAGGGAAATAGAATTACAATGAAATGAAATTCAAAGAAATTGTGGTCATTTTAACCCTTCAGAGCCTGACAGATGAAAAAAAAGAGAAACAAAAAATAGTTTGTGGTTGATTGACATCACACTTCATAAACCCATCTTGTTTTCCAGTTACGTCATTGAGAAAGGAGTGTGTTACTTGGCCTTATGTGAAGCAGGATTCCCCAAGAAACTGGCGTTTGCCTATCTGGAGGATCTGGAGGGAGAATTCAGTGAGCAGTACGGGACAAAGGTCCCTTCAGTGTCACGGCCGTACTCTTTTATCGAATTTGGTGAGAAACATCTTATATCAGTGCGATCTGAAAGCACAATTTAAAGGGTTAGTTCACCCAAAAATGAAAATTCTGTCATTAATTACTCACCCTCGTGTTGTTCGAAACCCGTAAGACCTTCGTTCATCTTCGGAACACAAATTAAGATATTTTTGATGAAATCTGAGGGCTCTCTGACCCTCCCATAGACAGCAAGGTAACTACCAGTGGCAGCTCGTGGGTTTTAAAATAGAGGAGACACACTAATTGTATTGGTCTGGGATCCCTGCCGATTATTATTATTATTTGCTTAACCACTTTAAAATGGCTTTTTGGTTGCTTTTAGTGAGAAAACGTAAAGAAAACGACATGCATACAGCAAGATAATATAATTTCACTTACCTGGCCTATCACTTGAAGCAAACATCCATCAGCCTATATCCAGCTTAGGCTGTTTTCCCTAAATTTGTATATATACTGTTTGAATGACAGCTTGGTAAATCTGTTGGCGATCAAATATTCAATATCGCTACTCATCATAAGTACTTGGTACATTATCAGCGCAGCGGCAGACGTTCAAACTAATATCACGTAATTTACGTCTCTTTGATGATTGGTTGATATCAGAAGGGAGGCTAGCCTACCTTACGAGGTTTCTTTTCTCAACACTCCTCAGCGCTGAAAGTGAACACTCGATGGTGATTGGCTAATTTTTTTTTTAACCAATGGAGGCACCAGAGCTCAGTTCTCCCCCGACCTCCCCCTCTCTATCACCTAGCGGTTGTAATTACATCAGCAGATTTGGCACATTTGCGATAGAAAAGCGGCACTTTCATAAAGCTACGAGAATACTTTTTTGTGCAAAGAAAACAAAAATAACGACTTTATTCCACATTTTCGTCTTTACTGGGTCACTTGTGGACGCGCGTTCATGACAGTATCATGAAGCGAGCGTGTGGCGGCGCCGGTGCTGACCTGGATCCGGCGTGATGACGTCAAAAAAGTATTCTCGTAGCTTCGTAACTTTACAGTTGAACCACTGATGTCACACGGACTACTTTGTCGATCATCGGGTCAGAGAGCCCTCAGATTTCATCAAAAATATCTTATTTTGTGTTCCGAAGATGAACAAAGGTCTTACGGGTTTGGAACAACACGAAGGTGAGTAATTAATGACAGAATTTTCATTTTTGGGTGAACTAACCCTTTAACTCCATTAAAGTTTATATAAACTACCATTCAAAAGTTTGGGGTCAGTAGGATTAGTTTTTTTCTAAAAAAATTAATACATTTATTCAGCAAGGATGCATTTATAATTGATCAGAAGTGACAGTAAAGACTTGTATAATGCTACAAGAGATATCTATTTCAAAAAATGCGGTTCTTTTGAACTTCCTGTTCATCAAAGCTGAAAATTCAGCTTTGCATCACAGCAATAAATTACATTTTCAAATATAATAAAATAGGAAACCGTTATTTTAAATAAATGCAGCCCCGGTGAGCATAAGAGACTTCTTTGTGGGTTACTTCAGCATGCCGTTTTTATAGTATGGCACGTTTTATTGAATAAAAGTGTCAGCTACATGGCAAATTAGTTGGTTGACCGTGTAGATCAAATGATATCCCATTTGTCTCCAGACACATACATTCAGAAAACCAAAAAGTCTTACATCGACAGCAGAGCACGAAGAAACCTGGGCAGCATCAATTCAGAGTTACACGATGTCCAGAGGATCATGGTTGCTAATATCGAGGAAGTGCTCCAGCGTGGAGAAGCGTTATCTGGTGAGTGAACACATGCTGCAGCCGGTTTCAGTCTTTTGAGCTCATTTGAGTAAGACAAAACCACTTGTAGAAGTATTATTTAGTATTCTCTGTTCTTTCTGCAGCCTTGGATTCCAAAGCAAGTAATCTGTCCAGCCTTTCTAAGAAGTACCGCAGCGATGCAAAGTACCTCAACACTCGGTCCACCTATGCTAAAGTGGCCGCCGGCGCCGTGATCTTCATCACACTCATTGTTTATGTGCGCTTCTGGTGGCTGTGAATGTATGACAAATTCAAGCAGAAACTCTCAGGGCCTCACTCACAAAAATGGCTCAGACACCAGAGAGTCTGTTCTGGCCTTAAGGTTGTGTCTGTTTGAGACACTGAATGTAGCGGTCAATGAGTTTTGTCGAGTTAATCATGCTGTTGTCTTTTTACACTTTTTTTGTAACGTGTAGGTGTTAATGATGTACTTGTTGCCTTGTATATGTTCAGGATGTTGATAACAGCTATGCAAAGTACATGTGGAGTTTATAGGAAATCACATCTGTATCTGGAGAAAAAGTTGTACATCTTCGTTGGGACAGAATTTAAGAGCCCACTATGTCAAATATATTTTTAATTTGTGACTTATGTCAAATGTGAAGGCGCTTTTCAAGGAACATAAAGAGTAAATTCAGACAAATGAACTGTAATGGTTTATTGTTTACAATTATCATTACAAAATAGTCACACTCAACGCATTCACTCAGATGATAATCGGTCATTTATGTCTGACAGAGTGTAAATATATACATTTGTTCTTTGATGAATAACAAACGAACAGCTGCTCTTGATGCACTGACCATTTCTGGTTGAAATCCAAATTTCTTACTGTATTTAGACAATGAGGTCAAAGTCATCTCGCTGAAAGAACAAAAACAAAATTGTAGTGTAAATAAATGAGCAATTAGTTCAAATGGGTTTTATAGCTATTTTTAATAATTTCTTAACAGCATAAAATCAGATTCTGTCGGCGCTTATATGATTACACCATATATAAAAATGTCATTCTACAAATTTTAGTGCCTTTAAAAAACCTGTCTGATGACAGACTATTAGTTCACACAGGGAGGGATGCATGTCATTTTCCTTAACTAATTTCATTAATAAAAGGTTTGTGCACAGTGCTTCTTTTTAAAGAAATTAGTTTTTATTCAGCGAGGACATTCAATTGATTAGAAGTGACAGTAAAACCTTTTATATTGTTACAAGATTTCGGTTTCAAATTAATTATTTTCTTTTGAACTTTCTATTCATCGATGAATCTGTTCCACAAAACACAACTGTTGTCAATATTAATAATAATCAGAAATGTTTCTTGAGCAGCAAATCAGTATATTAGAATGATTTCTGAAGGATCATGTGACACAAGACTGGAGTAATGATGCTGAAAATTCAGCTTTGCATCACAGGAATAAATTACATCTTAAAATATATTCAAATAGAAAACAGGTATTTTATACTTTAATATTATTTCACAATATTACTGTTTTTACTGTATTTTAATCAAATAAATGCAGCTTGGGTGAACATAATTGAGATAAGGAATTTCTTTAAAAAATGTTTAAAAATCACTGACCCCAAACTTTTGTACAGTAATGCATAAACTCTACAGGATGATTTTCAGAATATACTTTAACATACCTCATCATTGTAGTTCATGACATGTTGTTTGATCCTGGATGAATCCACCCATGTGACAAAGTCTTCCATACTCCTGTAAGTTAACAGTATTGCATAATAACGATACATTTCAGTTGCCACAGATTCACTGAAAAGTTTATAGGTTAAAATTAACATCATGTGGTTTTTCTTTTTTTCGTCTTCAATGGGCATCAGAAAAAATATAGTATCCAAATCAAAATGTAATAAAATTAATTTATGTGTGATTTATGTGTAAATTATGTGCAATGTCTTCGCCACTAGGGATTGTTACATAGGGCTATACAGGCATCTAGTGGCAACACAATGATATTACAGATACTAAATTGTGCAAAATGTTTATCTTAACAGTCAATTTACAAATAATGCATTCAGATTTGTGGAACTCAATGCACTGAATCTCCACAAATTAGTGTCGTTACTATGACAACCAATTTGAATGTGACAAGCAACTGGTGTCAGAAAATAATTCTATATAATATAATAATATATAATTGGGGGCGGCTAGAAACGGCCCTGCCTGAGGATGAGTAAATGTTTTGACAAATTTTCATATTTAGTTGAACTATTCCTTTAAAATTAAATGAACATCCAGTATATTCAGAGATCAAGGAAATCTAACTATAGAAATTACAGCAAGTCATTAAATGTTGAAGCAGATAGTATATACATATTAAACAGGCATAATATGTATATAATACATACATCTGTATAATACAGATAACGTGTGTGTGTCTGTGTGTGCACTAGGGTTGCAAAAAAGGTGGAAAATTTCCAGTAAATTTCAGAAATATTCCAGAAATTTTGGAAACTTTCCAGGATTTTTTTGGAATATTCCAGGGACTTTTTAGAAAGTTTCCGGAAATTTACCAGAAATTTTCCACCCCTTTGCAACCCTAGTGTGCAGAGTTCAGTGTGATTTATGATGAAGGATACGGCCCTGCTCGATGAAGGTTATGGCAGTCTTCAGGTTCTGAGCCATACGCAGTTTCAGCATAATTGTGGGAAGCCGTCTCCTGCAGAAAATGACAGCAATCGGAAAAACCAGTACAGAGAAGAAACAAGCAGAAGGAACAAAAAAAATAAGACTATTTTCTAGGCCTGTCGCAATAATCAATATATCGACTTATCACGCAATATATTAAATATTCTTAAAAATTTAAAGTTTATTGTCATTTGGAAGTGTGTAGGCCTTCTTGCATTATTATGCTGTTACATTATGATTATATAGTCAGTGGCATAAAATGGTCTTTAATATGACAATAATATCGCTTATCGCAATTATTTCTAGGGCAATATATCGCACAACAAAAAGTTGTTATCGTGACAGGCCTACTATTTTCTTGCAACTTAACTTGACCTGTTCTGCACGTCGTGTTGTTTTTCGATTTACACTTTATTACAACATCCATGATCAAATGTTGCAGAGCATCTTACCTGCAGAATGCAGATGCACAGACTTCATTCGTAAGAGAGAGGTTCTGTTTGGTGGGGATCAAACCGACACTGTAACTGCAAAACAAGAAGAAAATACATGCTATCTTTAGACATGACTGCAGCTCAGGTGTCCACAAATCAGCCAGAGGTTCCCAAACTTACAGTTTTTCCAAGAAAAGGGCTGTGCTTTGAGCTCTGAAACCATCCTTTTCGTCCAAGTCCCGTATTTTCTGTGCCAATTCTCTGATATTTCGACTAAGTTTGTTGTATCTAACGAGAGATCATAAACGTATTAGATTCATAAGTCATGTTTTGGCTGAAGACGGACACTATCATTCACTTCCACTAAAATATATACATGAAAGATATATTTTCTTAAGACAAATATACATACTAGGTTACGTTATTTTCTTTACTTACTTGGTGTAATCTTCCCTCTTCTCAATATGATATTTTCTCAACACTTTAACCTCGTGTAAATTGTTGTCAACCTCCCAGTTAATAAAATCGACTTTCTTCAAGAGTTTCTGCTCGTGAAATTTCAATTTGCGAACCATTTTGCCAATAAGACCGACTATATTTAACACAACGCGTGTTGTTTTTCTCTAGTTATAATGCTCACATTAGCTTTCACACGCGTGCTTTTCATTCACTGTGTTTTACTGTAAGGAATGCGCGGCTGCTTAGCTCGACACTGCCGCCCAGAGGTCAGGAGGAGAAAGACAACAACATTAATATAGTGATGCATTTTCACAATAATAAAATGAAAATGTAATTTTTTTTTTATTATTATTGCAGTAAACAACAAGGATTACAGTACGTACAAAACAGAAAAAAAAAAAAAAAAAAGGTAAAATGAAAGTGTAATGCATAATACGCATAATATAAAGCATACATTTTGTTTTTATATATTTAAATGTTAGTATATTTCTCTGTTTTACTTAATATTTTATCTTAATCATTGTTCAACGTTAAATCCTTGTGTACTTTACCCAAACTCGAGCAACCACACACACACTCACATCATGAATAAAGGTAAATGCAAGGCAAAAATTTTAACATATACATTTTAACCTAAAATCTTAATGATGAATAAAAAGTTTCATGTCCGCGCATACTGGTAAAAAATGTATAGCCGGAATGCACTGTAAGTCGCTTTAGATAAAAGCGTCTGCTAAATGCATAAATTATTATTATTAAATTATTATTTCTACGTCAACAAATCCAGTATTTACTAAATTAAGCAACAAACAATAACGGAAGTCAAAGGCAAGGCATGTTTATTTAGGCTATATAGCACATTTAATACACAGTGGTAATTCAAAGTGTGTTAGGCTACATAAAAATGATTTTAAAATAATCATAAAATAAATGCTGTCAAAATGATTACTCGCAATGAATCGCATCCAAAATAAAAGTTTGTGTTTACATACTATATGTGTGTGTACTGTGTATATATATATATATATATATATAAATATAAATACACACACATACATGTATATATTTAAGAAATATTTACATGTATACATATATTCATATTTATATACGATTTATATTATACATAAATATATATTACATATATTTCTTAAATATATAAATGTATGTGTGTGTGTGTGTGTGTATATATATATATATATATATATACACAGTACACACACATATATTATGTAAACACAAACTTTTATTTGGGATGCAATTAATTGTGATTAATCGATAAAAAATAACTAACTAAAAAAATAAAAAAATATTTATAAATATCACCAAAACAATTTGCATTTAATTCATGAGTAATGAATAATTTATAGATTTCTCCTTACAGTCTTCTTATCCTAAGTAAAGTTCAATTAAAGTAAATTACTTAAAATAAAGAAAATTACTTTACAATATCACAATAAGTTTTTAAACAAATACAAATTTTTTTTTGCACAGAAATGATGTTATTTATTTATTTACTTACTTTTTAATATATTAAGAAATTGGTGCAGATTACAGAACTATTATTTTTCTTTCAGATATTCATTCAAATTATGTTAGTTTTTTATTATAATTTATTTCTACTTGTCTTCTGGGTAAATTTCATCGTAACAAAGTCAATACAGCACATTTTAAACCTAATTTTAGAATGTTCTGCTGATGTAAAACCCCATTAATATTCCCAAGACTGTCATAATGAAAATATTATTTTTGTTTAAAAATAAAAAAATAAATAAATCATGCAATACACACCCATTACTGAAGATGTCACTGTAAGCAAAATCCCATCTCCATTTGGAAGGTTTTGGTGAAACTGACACGACCCGACAGTAACATGACTGTCAAACATAGTTTCTCTTACGCTGGAAGTGTGACTGTGACTGTGGTTGAGGAAGTAATCATTTTATATGAAATGAATGAGATACATCAGTCAGGGCTGCGTTCATCTGCTGCATTTCTCATGGACTCCACGCTCACTCAGCGCTACACATCTGAACTGCACTTGTGAGACCAGGTACAGTAACGTTACAAATAAACATCTTTATTGTTTTGCTGATAGGACAGAAAGTAAATTCACCATTTGTACATTTAATAAACTCCAGGTTAAACACAAAGGAGGGTTTGTGACAGAGATCAGATTGATATGACACTGAGGTGAAGCTTCTCACAAGCAAAAGCAGGTATGGTACACTTTCAGGTTACAGTGGTGTAACGTTAGTTGCAGGTAGACACTTTCCTTTCTTTATATAAACAATTGATGGTCATTTCCTTGGAAATAAGGAGGCTGGGTCAGAACATGACAAAAGGGCTAGGTCTGAAATCATAGACTCTCTGAGTAAGTGCTTCTTTTGAATAAGTAGTTACTTTGGGGCTGCTAAACACAGTATGTTCTAGTATGAATGTAATCTGGATTTACAACATGCAGCATAACGTTGTTGTCACTGGACCTAGCTGTACCAGCTGTGTCGCTTTACTGCCTTTCGCAACTCCTCTCCTGTGGCTTCGTGGGATAGTAAAGTGTCTGGTGTTCTGAAGATTTGTGCTACCCGCTCAGATTGTGCTAAAGATAGGTAACACAAATCGATAGCGGAAAATGTCGGATTGTGCTATCAGCATCTTATTCGTGTGGTTTGAGGCTTTTTTTAATGTCCATACCTACCCCTACCCTAAACCTACCCGTACCTACCTACCCTTACCCTTAAAGGGGTCATACGATGCTGCTAAAAAGAACATTATTTGGTGTAATGAAATGTGTTTATGCGGTTTAAGGTTAAAAAAACACATTATTTTCCACATACTGTACATTATTGTTTCTCCTCTATGCCCTGCCTTTCTGAAACGCGTCGATTTTTACAAAGCTCATAGGTCTGAAAAGCGAGGTGTGCTGTGATTGGCCAGCTATTCAGTGCGTTGTGATTGGCCGAATACCTCAAGCGTGTGACGGAAATGTTACGCCCCTTACCACATTGTGATGATGCCCTGTACGGCCGGAGCGATGAGACATAAACATTAAAACCCATTATAAACAAGGCATTTGTTGCATCCAGTGGGGACATAATTACGGATTATAATGATTTATACTGTCTTTTTAAGCGTTGCGTTGCATCGCGCCGCGTTGCGCCGCGTAAACATAAAACCATGTCAGCATTTGTGATCGGAAAAATGACAAACAACAAGCGCTACTCTATACTGCCCAAAAAATCACGTTTGAATCGTCAGTGGCAAATTCTTTAAATATAAAAAAACGTACTTACAGTCTGTGAGTCAGAACAGCCGGCATTGTAGTCTACTCTCCCAGGATCAGGAAACAGTCCTCCATAAAATGTGCTGCACACATCTGAATATTTGGGTTGAAGTGTTCTGGAACAGTGTTGTAAATACAACTTAACCACTGATTTCTAGTCGTGTCCTCTTTTGGAAGACCAAACAAAGTAGTTTCGCTTTCACAACGAAACAGCGTCACACACAGCGGCCTAGAGTGAGCGGAGGCGGGCGGGCTTGAGAGCGGCGCGGCCGGCAGATTCGACAATTTAATTACGCCAAATACACAAAATAATGTTCTTTTTAGCAGCATCATATGACCCCTTTAATGCAGTGCCATACAGATGGAATGATGTCTGACAAATGCATTCTGGTTAGAAATTTTCGATTCAAATACCGTGAGAGCAAGATGAGACTAGCTGTCTAGGTCGGGCGCTGCAGTTGCCCCAAATCAACGACACACCTTATTGGCCAGACTCTCTGATGACAACGATGACGTGTGTTTCATGTTTATTCTGACACCTTTGGTTCTGCTTACTCCCACAAATCTGCGTTGCTATAACAGTAGAAACTTTTTGTTACTTTAATGTTATATTGTGTCATGTTTATCAAAACTGATAAAAATATACCCCTCTTTATTGGCATCTGAATAGTATTGGCTTATATCAGTGGTGTCAAACTCCGATCCAGGAGGGCCCCAGCCTCCACACCTGAACCAGCTAATCAAGTCCTTCAAGTTTATTTGAAAACTACAGGAATATGTGTGTTGGAGCATGGTTGGAACTAAACTCTGCAGGGCCTGCGGAACTGAGTTTGACACCCTTGGCTTATGTTAAAGTGCCCCTATTATGCAATTTTAAGGTTCCTAATATTGTTTTAAGTGTCTCCTACAATAGGTTTACATGCATGCAAGGTCGCTTTTGTTTTCTCAAAATATGCATTTAAAGGGGTCATATGATGCTGCTAAAAAGAACATTATTTTGTGTATTTGGTGTAATGAAATGTGTTTATGCGGTTTAAAGTAAAAAAAACACATTATTTTCCACATACTGTACATTATTGTTTCTCCTCTATGCCCCGCCTTTTTGAAACGCGTCGATTTTTACAAAACTGTTTCAAGAGAGAGACCGGAAGGTTGCCGCTTGGTCGGAAACAATACGTCCACTGCCATAGTTCTGTATTTTGAACGCTCGATAGAAAATATAAACATCTATTATTTATCATACTTACAGGTTGTGATTCAGTGAAGCCAGTTGGTCCAAATAAAATGGGTACTGAGCTCATCTTTCAAGAGCAAGCGTTTGTGAATCCCACGTTGAACTCCCCGAGATTAGAGAAGTAGTCGTCAGTAAAATGACGTGTTTGTGGGCGGGGTCAAGTTGTTTGCAGCCAGTCAGCGTAGAGCATAGGCGGGCATTATGCAAATGTGTTACCCTGCGTCGTGTAGCCATCACAGAAGTGGGATTCGAATTCCTGACGACTCGTTCAGGCTGTTCAGAGTTGATTCTTTCTTTTGGGAGACTAACTTTATTTATCATGCACTTTCAGCTTTACAGCTTTGCAGATCGTTTACATTCACATACAGCTACATTATACACTGCATGAAAGGCAATATTCGAAATGTCATGATAACTTTAAACTTTATTCTTGTATACAGGCGCTGTATTAAGCAGTACATAAATTACTGAATGAAAAGTGTTTCTGTTGCTTCATGGAAAAAGTCTGAAAAGTCTGTGAATTTGACAAATATTGCATTTAATAAAGTTCACCTGTGATAAAACAAGTGTCACTAGGGTAACAGAAAGTGTCCAACTTCACGGCTTTCCCTTTATTCCTTCTCTGCCTGCAACCGGCAGATCTCACAACTGACGCTGGTAGATCACATGACCACAACATGGCAAATATAGTACATCCAGATTTCATTCATACTGCACACATT